TGAGAGATCTAGCTGATTAACCTTTGGATTGAGAATACTTTATACAAGAGTGTAGGCACCGGGTGAGCAAAATGAAGGCATTGTCTTCCAAATAAAAATTCTGTCACCCAAATGAACTTTTCTTCACTCCCCAAATTTCTAGCGTTGCAGAGATTGAGACACAGACAAAATGGTTCACCCTACAACTCTTTTATTTGCTGTTTGCATTCCTTTGGCAACTTTGCCAGCTCCTTTTCTTTGGCTGCATAAACTGTATTGCTAAATTCTCAGCTGAAGTTTTAAAAGTTACTGCAGTGGTATAAATTTGGAGACAAGGATTTTTTTCCCTTAGGAGTAGAATTCCTACCAGTGTGGCATAGTGGTTTGAGCGCTGGACTAGACTCTAGAGACCAGGGTTCAAATCTTCCCAGTGGAGAAGAGGGCTGCTGGGAGATGCAATCCCACAACATCTGGTGGAGGACCACCACACAAGTTGCCCACCGGCTGATCTAGGAGGACCTACCTTGGTCTGCAAACACTGAAGTCCTGGGTCTACTTGGGAGGAAGGACTGTGGATATCTGGGACCTTTGCACCTTGGTACATCCCACCTTAACCACACTGATCCAGGGTGACCCAGTGTCCTCCTTTTCCAGGACATGTCCTACATTCAAGCCTTTAAATGTCCTCTATTTTGAGCATGACTAAGAAGCATGCATATATTATATTCTACGATTGTGGTTCGAACCTTTCTTTGGCCATGTCCTCCATTCTCCTTGAATGCCCTCCTTAGCAGTTAGGACATCTGGTCACCCTGGCACTGATCCCCCCCTCTCTCTCTCACACACACACACACAAAACAGATCTCCCCCTCCCAGGGTCACCCGAGGTCCTCCTTTCCCAGGACACGTCCTACATTTCCGCCTTCTGTCCAGGTGGCATCCCCAAATATCCTCCATCTTGAGCAGGGCTGAGAAGCCTACTTCTAGGAGCGCCCTCCCTTTTTTCTTTCCCTTGAAGATCCTCCATTTTTGTGGTGGCTGGTCCTCCTTTGCAGGGAGGACCTCTGTGTCACCCTGGCACTGATCCCCCCCTCTCTGTCTCTCTCTCACACACACAGACAGAGCTCCTTTTTCTTTGCCTGCCTAAACTGCCTTGCTAAATTCTCGGCTGAAGTTTTAAGTTACTGCA